GAGGACAGCTTTGATGGTGGTGACCGGGAGGAATCTTTCTCAGTTTCTGGGCCTTCAAACGAAGACACTGACGGCAGTTTGAAGGACAGCAGGGCGCCTGATTTAAGTGTAAATACTCTGGAACAAGAGGACTTTCTTCAAACACAGAGGACAGGTCAGACAGAAAAAATGTCCTCCACCTGTTTGGCTGCTGAAAACTGTTTCATCTTGAAGCTAAATGTAGAGTCACAGATAAAAATTCACACAGGACAGAAACCATTTGGCTGTGGTGTTTGTGGTAAGATGTTTAGCCGCAAGACGCTCTTTAAATCCCACATGAGAGTGCACACGGGGGAGAAACCCTACGGATGTGATGCATGTGGGAAAAGGTTTACGCTTCAGTACAGCTTTAAAAGACACATGCGTGTGCACACGGGAGAGAAACAGTTTGGCTGTGACGACTGTGGGAAAACATTTCGTTGCAAAACCCATCTGAAGCGACACATGAGAGTTCACACAGGAGAGAGACCGTTCGGTTGTAGCGTGTGTGGGGAAAGGTTCACAGAACAGGGCGCTCTGAAACGACACACCAGAGTGCACACTGGAGAGAGACCCTTTGGTTGCACTGTGTTTGGGGAAAGATTTGCAGAGCAGGGCGTTCTGAAGAGACACATAAGAGTTCACACGGGAGAGAAACCATTTAGTTGTGATGTCTGTGGGAAATGATTCAGACAGCAGAATACGTTGAAAAGACACACAAACGTCCACACAGGAGAGAAACCGTATGGCTGTGATGCGTGTGGGAAAGTGTTTAGAGAGCAGACTACGCTCAAAAGACACACTGTTGTTCACACAGGAAAGAAACCATTTTGCTGTGGTGTTTGTGGAGAAAGATTCACTCAACAGGGAAATCTGAAGAGACACATGAAAGGTCACACATGGGAGAAACTCTTCCACTGAAGGATTTGTCTTTAACCCTCTGGGGTCGCCGGACGCGCCGGCGCATCAAAATCACATGACCAATTTAAGACGACACAGCTACAAGATGCAGCACGTCAGAGTCTCCAATCCAACTTGGGTCGAAAGTGCGGACTTAAAACTATATACCAGTTTTTGAATTGTGCCGATGGGCCACGTAAAACCAGAGTTA